CAAATTTTCAAAAATAATTATTTCATTAAGAAGGATAAAGTTCAACAAATGACATCTTTCTCGCAAATTATTTGAGCCGTTTATTTTGACAGTGTTCTAAGTCCATTTATTTTAAAATTCAAATATTTATTATATTGCATTTAANTTAAAACAAATTTTCAAAAATAATTATTTCATTAAGAAGGATAAAGTTCAACAAATGACATCTTTCTCGCAAATTATTTGAGCCGTTTATTTTGACAGTGTTCTAAGTCCATTTATTTTAAAATTCAAATATTTATTATATTGCATTTAAGAATTTCGTATTTTAATAAATATAAAAATATTGGTAACTGATAACTTGGTGGTATAATGTTTTTGTGTTTTTATTATATATAATATATAATGAAAAAAATGTATTTAATAAAATATATTTATTATATATAACGTAGAAATGTGAATATTAAAATAGTCAGCTCGATGTTTTTGGAAAATGGATTTTGGCCACTTTCAAAATAAACGATTCATTTACATTTGAGAATTTACGTCTGCGCCGAAACTTGTTCAGATAAAGGCAAAGTAAATTTGGAAAAAGATTGGAATAAATGGCCATCATTACTTACCGGAAGTCGAGCGCGTGCTGCGTGAAAATAAGTTCGACTCAATCAGGAGGATCTATAAATTGCACGAGATCAAAGTAAAGGCGATGATTTGCTTGGGAATACGATTCCATATTAACGAAATTTGTTTCAGAAACGAAGCTTTTACAATAAAATATAATCACTAATTACAAGAGAGACTGCGGGTTTTATGCGTTCATGGCAAAAATCTACTGATCAAATTCAAATTCAGCTCGTTATAAAAATGATTAAGAAAGAAAATAAACATTTATTAAGTACTTGCATCTTGTCGTCAACGCAGACAACTTGTATTCTGCATAAAGTTCCGCAGTCTAGTAATTACAAAAGAAAATGCTACAGTGTAACCAAGTATGGGAAAGTCAATGAGAAAGAACGAATGGAACATTAATTTGTTTGAAACGAACACGAGATTACACAAAAAGAATCGGTTAATCGTGAATGGAAAAGAAAATTGTTACATCATAAAATAAATAGTATACTGGTAAAAAAGGGAGAAGAACGAGGAAAAAATTTTCGCAAGTGAATTTATTATTATTATCCATTAAAAAATTTTCCATGAAAATTTTCTATTGAAAATTTCCAAACGAGATTTTAAAGTTTGAAAGAAAGTTCAAAACAGCGCTTCCAGCGAAATGTTTCATTTTGACAAATGTCGACCGACTACTCCACACAATTATAAACGTGTATAGAATCATAGATATCAATTTCATAATGAAATAATAAAATATCAACTTTTTCGGCGCAAATATTTACGAACGTTCTAACAATGCCCGTAATTAAATAGAAATGAACAGGACCGTCTCTAAACTGAAAGGAACGTGTCGATCGTCGAGTAACCGGTGACGGTGAATTCGTAAGACTGTTTTCGAGAGATCGATACAGGCAACGTGACCATTATGTCAAGTAAACGCAGAATCCGGGCGTCGGTCTCTCCGAGGAGAGTCTCGGTGCCACACTTAAAGCGAAATAAAAGTAAGAAATCGAACATGCACGCGTCAGAGGAGATCCGGATACGCGGAACACGCAAACGAGCAGCCGTGAATCTTTGTACGGGGTTCCTGATTGGCTAGCCGCGTGAAGACACGGAGGGTGAGTACGTTTCGTCGTCGCGTATAACAGGCCGGTCATCATTTCGGACGAAAACTTGCCAACTTTCTCCTCGCGAATGTCGATGCGTTCCGCTTCGATTAAGCTTCCACGAAAAACGGCGAGCTTCGCTGCCCGCGATGATAATTCGACGGCGACTCGCGCCGTAAAAAGGAGCAAAACTAGACCGTTCAAATCGCGATTTGAAAGCAGAGGAACGAACGGCCGCGGTTAAGAAATTTTCGTCGTCCGTATCGATTCAGCGTGCCCGAACACTCGGAACCCGCGGAGAGGACCCAGGGATCGTGACTGAGGAAACGAAATGGCAACATCGTGTTACGGTAACAATCATTTAATCGAACATCAGCTTTTAAATAATCCACATTTTCTGACTTTATACAAATTACAATTCCGCAGCCACCATTTCATCACGGGACGGCGGTTTCGACGGGGCCTTCGCCGGTCGAATGACGAAGGACGATCGGACGAAATAGATTAATTAATGCGAGGCGTGTCGACAGCTTGGTTCGAGCTCGCCTGAGTGAGTATTTGCTTCAAAATTCACGGGACGAAATTACAGCGCGGATCGTCCTGCGCCGGTCGGCTCGCCGAAAGCTCGTTGTTGCTCGTCCCTGTTTCGACGACAGATCGTTCGAAAACAGAACGGGATATGCTAAGTGCACCGAATCGTTCCGTCTTCTTTCCCTCCATCGAAAAGGACCCGTAATACACGAGCGCCGCATCATCCAGGAGGCGATCCGTAAACGATCCTAAGAACGTCGTCGTACACATTACATTACGGTGCGCCAAGATCGAGAAGCTAATTATGGAGACTAAAGAATTAAGAGGGCGGGACAGGGACGAGAAACTCAAGTAAAATGCGACGGACGATTGACTATCTTACAAAGATAAACCAATTGAAGAGAAAGGAGAGGGAGAGGGTGGGTGGGTGGGGAGCGGAGGAGGACGGACAAGTCGAATGAAAATAAATAAGAAAGAAACAGGAAAGGACTGCGGACACGATGAGACTGTGAAAAATATATAATATAAAAGCATTATAAATAAAAAGAAACAAGCGATAGAATCTACTCAAACAACGCATTTGGAAGAGCTTAGGTACATCCGTAGCGCGGCCATTGCGCATGGCCGCACCTCCGCGTAGTTTTCGTCACTTCCGTCTACGTTTTTAGTTATATGTTACACCTAACTATGTATATGTATACATAATAAATGTATATATACTCTCATTCTCTTTATCTACCTTTATCTTTCCCGAACGATCATCTCCCTCGAGAGACGCTTCCCTCTTTCACGTTCTCTCCTCTCTTCTTTAAACATAAGAACGTTCGCTTCTTTTCCTACGTATATATACGCACGTACCCGCGTACGTGTGCTCCGTTATCATCGATACGTATGTATGTACACACACCATATATTTGGACCAGCGGGTTTCACTCACTTCGAATCGTCGTTTATAACACAGCACGAGAGATCATTCCCACACGTCACCCGACCGTTTCCTGTTTCTATTTCATTCCTTTTCGTTCCCTTTTCGTTCACGTTCACGTTCCGTTTCGATCCGTTCCGTGTCATTCCGTACGCGCGTTCCATGGCTCCGTCCAAGCTCCCCGTACGATGGTTTTCGTATCTATTTACAATGTGAAAAGCCTCGATCTATACCCAAAAACATATTGCAACTGGGAGTCGCGCAACGGTGTATCGGTACCGGTACCGGTGTCGTTAATATTCTCTGGACGGTTATTTTTCGGGCTACGATCATTCACAGAGCGGGTACCAGCTCAGAACCGCGCTCAGCGTCGCAGAACAACCACGGCGATCAGCCTCGGGGTCGTTTCTGCTCGACGCCACTTTGTCATAGGTACTTACGGTAGTCTCTAGGTACATCCAAACTGTTCTCCCAAAACCGCGGGAAAAAGGACTCTGTCTCTCGCCGGTCTAGTCCCTGCCGATCCTTTTATGGATCTGTTGATGCTTGATCAGGTGCGCCTTCTGTCTGAACGCCTTCCCGCAGACCTCGCACCTGAACGGCTTCTCGCCGGTGTGGGTTCTGAGGTGCACCTTTATGTTGCTCTTGTTCAGAAATCCTCTGTTGCAGATCGAGCATCTGTGCACGGGCTTCTCCTTGCCGCCGATCAGGCCCGACTCGGTCCCGTAGGGCAGCGCCGTTGCCCCGGTGCCCGGGCTCTTCTTCGAGGGGTTCTGCGAGCCCGGGGCGGGTCGCGACCTCTTCCTCTGGTGGGACGGCGCCGCGAACGACGAGTGCAACAGGTGGTCCGGGCTGCAAGAGGTCGACACTCTGCCCGGCGGACTGACGGGCGGATAGGGACTCGTGGAGGACGGGGTCTCGCCGCAGGACGCGTTCTGCAGGCCGGCGTTCGCCGACTGTAACCTGGCGTTCAGCATCGGCGCGTAACCGTGCGTCAATAGGCTCTGCAAGGTCGAGCCGTGCTGCTGCGCCTGGGTCGAGGGCGTCGCTGTTGCGTAGATCTGCGGGTACGGGCCGGGCGAGTTGGTCTCCTGTGCCTTCGGCGAACACGCGGTGTCGATCCATTCGGCGATGTCGATCCAGTCCCGCGACGCGTCCGGATCGTGCTCCGAGCTTGCCCCGTTCCCGCCTCCGGGGACCGTTGTGTCCGCTATCGCCGAACCAATGATCTCCGCGATATCCTCGATATCGTATTCCACCTGCTGCGTGGACTGTGGCAGTTGCTGCTGCTGATGGTGATGATGCTGTTGCTGTTGTTGTTGCTGCTGCTGTTGCTGCTGGTGCTGATGGTGCTGTTGTTGTTGCTGCTGCTGCTGCTGCTGTTGCTGCTGCTGCTGCTGCTGCTGCTGCTGCTTCTGGCTGCCCTGCGGGCAAGGTGTGCTCGAGGACACCACCGGCGACTCGTAGTATTCCTGATTGGAGGATGACGTGGGGGAGGATGATGGTAACGAAGGCCGTTGCGCGGACGAGGCTATCGTGTGATAATGGTGGCCGGGTATGCCGTTGATGCTTAGGTGTCCCGTGTATCCTGTGAACGGCGGCAGGGGCTTCAGCTCCGCCAGCGACTGCGCCGAGGCGACTCCGACGGAAGAGCCCAACAGAAGAGTGTCCCATGCATCCGGCAAACCAGCTGCCGTTTGCTTGACATCCGGAGGCTCTAGGAAGTCCGGCCCTGTCGCGCCCCAGGGCGACAGGAGTAAACTGTCCACGCCGACCACCTCGGCGGGCGATCCACCGACCACGATGCCTGTCCCTTGACTACTATGCGGCGGCTNCAATGTGAAAAGCCTCGATCTATACCCAAAAACATATTGCAACTGGGAGTCGCGCAACGGTGTATCGGTACCGGTACCGGTGTCGTTAATATTCTCTGGACGGTTATTTTTCGGGCTACGATCATTCACAGAGCGGGTACCAGCTCAGAACCGCGCTCAGCGTCGCAGAACAACCACGGCGATCAGCCTCGGGGTCGTTTCTGCTCGACGCCACTTTGTCATAGGTACTTACGGTAGTCTCTAGGTACATCCAAACTGTTCTCCCAAAACCGCGGGAAAAAGGACTCTGTCTCTCGCCGGTCTAGTCCCTGCCGATCCTTTTATGGATCTGTTGATGCTTGATCAGGTGCGCCTTCTGTCTGAACGCCTTCCCGCAGACCTCGCACCTGAACGGCTTCTCGCCGGTGTGGGTTCTGAGGTGCACCTTTATGTTGCTCTTGTTCAGAAATCCTCTGTTGCAGATCGAGCATCTGTGCACGGGCTTCTCCTTGCCGCCGATCAGGCCCGACTCGGTCCCGTAGGGCAGCGCCGTTGCCCCGGTGCCCGGGCTCTTCTTCGAGGGGTTCTGCGAGCCCGGGGCGGGTCGCGACCTCTTCCTCTGGTGGGACGGCGCCGCGAACGACGAGTGCAACAGGTGGTCCGGGCTGCAAGAGGTCGACACTCTGCCCGGCGGACTGACGGGCGGATAGGGACTCGTGGAGGACGGGGTCTCGCCGCAGGACGCGTTCTGCAGGCCGGCGTTCGCCGACTGTAACCTGGCGTTCAGCATCGGCGCGTAACCGTGCGTCAATAGGCTCTGCAAGGTCGAGCCGTGCTGCTGCGCCTGGGTCGAGGGCGTCGCTGTTGCGTAGATCTGCGGGTACGGGCCGGGCGAGTTGGTCTCCTGTGCCTTCGGCGAACACGCGGTGTCGATCCATTCGGCGATGTCGATCCAGTCCCGCGACGCGTCCGGATCGTGCTCCGAGCTTGCCCCGTTCCCGCCTCCGGGGACCGTTGTGTCCGCTATCGCCGAACCAATGATCTCCGCGATATCCTCGATATCGTATTCCACCTGCTGCGTGGACTGTGGCAGTTGCTGCTGCTGATGGTGATGATGCTGTTGCTGTTGTTGTTGCTGCTGCTGTTGCTGCTGGTGCTGATGGTGCTGTTGTTGTTGCTGCTGCTGCTGCTGCTGTTGCTGCTGCTGCTGCTGCTGCTGCTGCTGCTTCTGGCTGCCCTGCGGGCAAGGTGTGCTCGAGGACACCACCGGCGACTCGTAGTATTCCTGATTGGAGGATGACGTGGGGGAGGATGATGGTAACGAAGGCCGTTGCGCGGACGAGGCTATCGTGTGATAATGGTGGCCGGGTATGCCGTTGATGCTTAGGTGTCCCGTGTATCCTGTGAACGGCGGCAGGGGCTTCAGCTCCGCCAGCGACTGCGCCGAGGCGACTCCGACGGAAGAGCCCAACAGAAGAGTGTCCCATGCATCCGGCAAACCAGCTGCCGTTTGCTTGACATCCGGAGGCTCTAGGAAGTCCGGCCCTGTCGCGCCCCAGGGCGACAGGAGTAAACTGTCCACGCCGACCACCTCGGCGGGCGATCCACCGACCACGATGCCTGTCCCTTGACTACTATGCGGCGGCTCGACCCCCGACGACGTCAAGTGCGGCGGCGCTGCCGGCGGACCGGACTGGGTCTCGTACTTCATGTCGATCACGATGTCGGAGGTTGGCGAAACGACGCCCGCACAGGGTGGCGCGACGACGTCCTTGACCAACGAGCTCTTGCCGCCGCACGCCGGCGACTGCTTCAAACACCTGTTGCCCGGATTCCCGCCGATGATGTTGTAGGGCGACGTGGCTGCTAGCTCCTCTTCCTCGGTGTCCAGAACGTCCTGGGACGACTGGCTGAGAGGATACTCGACCTTGATGTTCCGCACCACCGTTCGCTCCTCTTGTCCCCGGCTCTGTTGCGTGTCCGTGGACGGGTACTCGAGCTTGATGCAGGACCTCGAGAGGAGATCCTCGTCGGTGTCGTTCCGGCACTGGCCCGACGATATCCGCGACGTGGACAGCAGAGAGCTCAGCAGGGAGGTGTTGAACGCGGAAGTGGAGGGCGAAGACAACGACGAGGGCAGCGACGAGAGGGTCGCGTTGGTCGATCTTCGATCCTCTGGCCGGAGCTTCGAGTACTCCTCCGTCTTGATCCGCACGTTCAGGGTCGACAAGATTCCGTTCAGCGAGTCAGCCGCGGCTAGGCCGCCGTGGCCGATGTTCCTCGCGTTCGCTGACACCAGCGGCGACGTGACCGCCGACGACGTCAACGTGTTAACGTGGCTCGTGGTCACCGGAATGGTCCGGATGTTGTTGCTCGCCGTGGACGTGGTCGTCAGGAGCGCCGACAGCAGCAGGTTGCTGGCCGCCGAGTGCTCCGGTGGCGACGAGGCGATGCCGTACGCGTTCGTTGACGAAGCTACGGCATTAGCTCCCCGCGCTACCGTGTCCACGTGGCCGAGGCTCGACGACGAGCACGAAGAGGACAGGGTTGCGGCAATGCCGTAGCTCGTACAGATATTTCGCGAGCCGTTCGATTGATTCGGCGGGTGCTGCGACTGCTGCCGTTGACTCGAATGATGCTGGTGCTGCTGGGACTGCTGCAACGGGCTGCTCGTGTTACGATTCGCCGGGTTGCAGAACTGAAAACCACCGTTCCCGTTGTCCGGTGCCCCCTCGTCGATCCTTGGGGGCCCAGGGGTCGAGGGGAAGAGGGGACCAGGATTCCACCAGGGATCCACTCTACTGCCGGGGGTGCTGCAACCGCCAACGGCGCCGCGAGGACCTGCAACAGAAAATGCCGATTTTGGAGAGGACCGGTCGAAGTGCAAGAAAATTTCTCTATTTGACGCTCGGCTTCTACGCGAAAATGACCAATTCGGGAAGAGGAGATGCGATCGTTCGAGCCTTGCGACTAACTATGGTCATATAACAACATTCTAACTGTAGTTATCGATCTATAAAAACGAGTCGCGAGGCTGGAATAATCGTGCCTCATCTTCCCAAATGATCCATTTCTGTTCCCAAGCTGAGCCTCGATTAGGGAGCATTTACTCGTGACAACGACGCAAGAACAATTCTGTGGTTGCAAGGAAGAACGCCGCATATCACACACGTTTCCAGTTCCGAAATATATCGTCGCTTAAAGCTCCTTGCGATTGCTAATATAATAATAATTCGTGTCGGTAGCGTTCGAAATCGCATCATTTTTTCGAGTCTATAAATAAATAACGTAAATCTTATATACTGCATTTGTTGAGATCGTGACGTGCGACGTTTCTCCTTACGAGCCACAGAATCGCGAAGCTGACTTCTAAGACATCTCGACCTCCCCCAGAACAGGCTCATCGCTGCTCAGCGCGTTCAACATGCGTACATCACTTCGTATCCCGAAGTCTCGAACGCGCAACAGATTGCGGAATAATGATCCTAGTTTTCGAAGTGGACCGATTTTCACGTACGCGCAACAGGACGGTCTCGCGTCTCACGTTCCCCGCGAACGGGGCCGACAATGGTGTTCTAAGGTGCCTCTAGGTGGATAAGCTCGCGGCTGCACCGATATCAAATCGTGCGTGCGAACACGCGCGTATTATAAACGATACTTTTGCGAATATCGCACGCACACCGGCGCGCGTATACAATGCACGCGCGTACAAATACACATGTATATCAGCGTGTATCATGAAGTTAAGTAGGCAGATACCACTTCTCTCGAGAAGAAAGGGACTTGCTCCCGCTAACTAGGTTAGTGGCACGCTAGCCAGCCACGGTCGGGTACACTCGACCAACCAAATTGCCACGTTTAAAAATACATTTTCGTGTTGCAAATAGCGCGTCGTCGTGTTCGTCGTGCCGCTTGTAGATCAGAGAAAAGAAAGACGACCGAGCATCGACGGGGAAGAAGAGAAAAAAGAACGGAACAAGAAGGAAGAAGAGGCAGAGAGCGGCCGCGCAGCCAGTGTTCATTCAAGAAAACACAGGTGAGCCGAGGAATGTACGCCGATCTCCGGCGTAGAAACTTTCGACGGAATTTATCGTGCGCGAGGCTCGGTGTTATAAACCATGACCAGTTAACAGGAAAAAAGGATCCAACAAAAGTCGAACGATCGGAACTGCGGTAACAGCCCGCTAAAGATCCCGCCGCGCCGCGCCGCGCCGTGCAATTCGCCGGCACGAAGCGTCGGCCAGAAAGGGCGACCACCGTTTCCATCGGTAATCGGCGGCGAGTTTCTCCGAGGAACGATCGGGACAATGGGGAACGTTTACGCGCATCCGACCGAAATGCGATCGTCGCATCTGGCCACGAAAAACGAGCAACCGCGATTTTGTTCTCTGCCGATGCCCGGGATTGACACATCCGCGTGGCCGTACGGAGCACACCATGGGAATCATGCAAATGGTAAACACACACGTATGGTCCGGCTGTCCGCCACGAGGTTCCCTCGTTTCCCTCCTCTCGCCATCGCCTCTCTGCCACACAGGGTTCACTCGAACACGCCACGTCCGTCCTTGTCGTCGGTTAGAGCCCGTCCTTGTCGATTGCCAGCGGACGGTAGACGCGTTGGAGGTCCCCACTTCGGGCCCGGCAGGGAGGACAGGGGGTCTCTCGTCGAGCCGTGACGCGTTTGCCGGGTACCGTTATCCAGTGGCGTAGACTCGGCCCGGAGGAGGGCCCGGGCGACCGCCGAGAGTCCCAGCCGCCGCTGCCGCGCCGCTACGCGACTAGCTCGCGCGCCGCGATCCCACTTTTTTCGGGCCTACGACAATGTCTCGATAAGCCACTTATCAATGGGATCACCAGGTATCCGCGGGACGCGATCGATTCGGCCGTGTCGATTTGCACTAGGCCATCCAGGTTTACGACGATGCCCCACCTTTGCGGTCCCGCCATCGCGGACGTATGCGTCTCTCTGCCACGTTTCAGGCTCTCGTTAAATTACCACCTCGGCGGCCCGCGGTAGCCGCGGGCCCGGGACGATCGTTGAATTATTTAAACGGCCTGGTCGGGATGTCTCTCGGTTTTAAGAGGACTCGGAGCGGCGCGCTCGAAGAGGAAGTTTTCCCCGCAGCGCCTCTAACGAGGCGGTGTGCTCCGGACCGAGCTTTCGAATAGACGATGGACCGATGCACGCTCGGTTTAGCCTCTGTATCTTCAACGATCGCGCTCGCGGGAGATCGATATCTGACCGGTTGAGATAATATCGGCAGGACGGATCGGTTCGGACGGAAGGAGGACGATCGACGCGAGTGTCATTCGCTCGGTGTGTCCACACGTGGTGGCACGTCTAAATGAAATGCGCATCGGTGCACGTGTACCGGGGAGCAACGAGGACCTGCATCGCTGGTCCCAGCGTCTGCCCGCCGCTACTTGCGCCCGTGACTATACGCCGAAACTATACCGCGATCACGCTCGCGTACAGTGGGGACCGAAGTAGGCCGAATCACCGTTACAGCCTGCTGCACGGTCGAAGCCTACGCAAATCGGCTAGATTTTGCTCACATGGCTTTCCTTTTCGTTGTGAAAAATGGCGCGTGCGAGCCCGTAGTTTCCGCGGCGACCCACTTTTGTCGGCTCGGTGCGCGGACCGACGGGTCGCCTCCCCCTTGCTCTTCGACCAACCCTGGTCGAGCGTGACACGTCTCCCAGGGTTCGCCATCCGGTTCCCGTATCGTCATCCCGAGGGAGGCGACCGAGACCTTGCTGGCCTTCGCGAGGACGGAGAGATCGTCGAGGTGTCCGAGGAGCGTGGAGGATATCTCGACGCGGCCAGCAAAATTCGGGTTTCTCGCGGGCAGGCACGGACGAGAGGAACGTGCGTCGTCACGTGAGACGACGCGCACTCGTTCGCGCCACTATACCCGGTTAAACTATATCTGAAACGCGTGCGTGTATAGTGGGGAACGGATGTAGGTCGAAGCACCGTTACGCGTTGCGCTCGACGGCGAAGAGGCCTACGCAAAACCAGTCGGATTTTGCTAGGCGCGTAAGCCATGGCTTTCCTTTTCGTTGCGAAAAATGGCGCGTGCGAATCGCGGTTCCCCACAGTGACCCACATACGGGAAACGAGTCACACTCGCGCCTCGGCTCCGAGCGGACCGACGCGGAGCGGACCGGACCGGAGCGAAGCGGCGTCGTCGTCGTCTCTCCTCCTCGGCTGGACACGCTGGAAACAAGGCGTGCTGCTCCTCCCCGCGACACGTAAAACCAGAAACGAGTAAACGTGAAATTCACTTCCACGCTTCCGCATCCGACATGAATGACGAACTCCCCGCGTCGTCTCTCGCCCGGCGAATTGCCGAGGTCGACCCAGTTCTTTCGCTTTTTAAGACGGACAAAATCGTATGGTAATCGAGCGCGACCACTCCGTCGCCTTTTCTTTTTTCTTTTTTATCGTCCGCTGGACCGTTTTCGGGCCAAGGGTCACGGGGGATCCGGCGCGAGATATTAGATATGGCCGTCGATAAGGGACCGCAGAATTTCGAGAATGCGCGGCGGTCGCGCGAGCGAGCGAGCGAGCGAGAAACTGCTTTCTTGCCGCGGCGGAAGTCGCTTTAGGTCGATCGCGGAGATTCCATTGGCGAGAAATGCAGGACAAGCGCGACCGCCGATCAGTCTCGGCGTCGACTTTCGCGTTAATACGACTTCAAAGGCGAATACGTCAAATGAGGGTACTATCTCTTATCTGTCGTAGCGGTATACGCGGCGGTTATGTTTAGCGGCTTCATTAGTGCTCGTCCGACGATTAGCGCGTCATTATGTGGGCCCGCGATTACTTTCCTTTCGAAGCTATCCGGAACTAATGAAATATCTCGGGCGCATTTTCGAGCGGCGAACCAGCGCAACGTCTCGGGCGGAGCGGGGCCGATAAACACGCGGTAGAGAGCGCGCGCGCGCGCCACGAGCGCACGCCTTTGGGAATAGGAGATTTCAACGCCGGGCCGCGCGGTAATGTCTGGGGAGCACTCCGCATTCTTCGCGTAAATTCTTCGCGTTTGAGTCACGGTTCTCGTAACGACTCGTTAATATTTCGTCGAACCGAATGCTAAGGATCGCGCGAGCGACTCGCGCACGATTCGTCGCCGCGACGACGCGATAATTAGGAAACGCGTTGGATCTAATTATTATGCGATTCGTAACACGTCCGACGAATTCGCGTTTATCGGAGGCCGCGGAGAACGCGGAGCGTTCGGCTGCCACGAATTTTCGTCGGTAACGTTAGCTGAACCGTGATCCGAAGAAAGTAGATCACCGCCAGGAAGCCTCACAAAGTTGCTCGCGCCGCTCGATCGAGGTAAACCCCGATCGACGCGCAAGATCCACGCTCGGAGAAATTCGGTCTGCTCCGGTATTTGCCTCAATGTCGACATCAAAATGCGTCGTAGCTCATAGGTGTGTACGGGGGACGTGCGCGAGGGAACCTGGCACCGCGCTGCCAACGGAGAAAGTGCGGCAACCATTAAGGTAAAGGTTAAAGAAGACGAGGGCGAGGTGGTGAAGGTATAGTAAGCTCGCGAGGCTACGATCGACGGACGAAAAACTTCCGAATGCCGACGAAATCGGAACGAATCGTTAGCCGTCGTGAAGACGACTCTATCCGTGAATCGAACGTCCCTATTTCTGGCGGAGCTTCCGCTGGGCCCAACAGGAGCTCGCCGAAGGGCCGCGTTTTTCGTTGCAATTCCGATGGACCATTTCGAGGTGTCCGACGAGAGCGTGCGGTTAAACGAGTCCGGTGAAGTACCGGTATTCGTACATGCAACCGAACAAAGCAGTTATGTTCGTCGATCAAAAGCGAGGCGAGCATGGACGCGACCGTGGACGGAGCCCCGGTGTATCTATAGGTGCTTGCGGAACTGACGAGTCGGAAGCCCCCCTACTCCGCTGGAATACCGGTTAATGTGGTACACTGACCTACTCTTCAGCCACCGCGATACCACCGGGAATACCCCACCACACTGTTATTCTCTCGTCCTTCTCTTCGCCGTTTCTTCCTTCTCTCGCGTTTCTCCCTCCTCTCCGTTCTCTCCCTCGCCTCCTTCATCTTTCCTCGTCTCTCCAGCATTCCCTTTCAGCATCTTGGCAATTCCGCCTCTCTCGCGGAGATTCCTAAGCTCTTGTTCTTCCTCTGACGCGAACAATCCTCGCCGATACATCCTGGTTCTTCGCCGAAAGAAACTCGAATGTCCGCGTCGTGCCTCCTTCGCCACTCCTTCTCGTCTTCCTCGATCGAGTCAATTCTGAACATTATTAATTTTCGGCTCGCGGAAAGCTAAAGCGAACGAGGTAAATCTTTGCCCCTCCCCTCCCCCCCCCCCAGGGGGAAACTGCTAATTAAACGGAAATCGTCGGTTTTATCGGGCGTCTCTGAAAGAGAGGAGAGAAAAAAGGGTACAAGGAAGCAGCTTCCGGTCGTCATTTCCGCTCAATCGAGCACACGATCACGTGAACGTAATTGCGAATAGTTTATAGAGAAATTCATAAGCGGTTTTCATGGAGCCGCAGCTCTGTCTCGGGCGCGCGCGCGAGTCCTTCGCTCGGCACAGAAAAGCCTCGCGGCACCGAAAAATGCGCCGGCCGCGAGAAATCGGCGTCCTGACACTGACACTGCGGCTCGAGCCAATCGTGAATTGGCATGGAAGAGCAACGAACCGCCTCGCAAGATGTCTACAACCTCGCGAAGCGGCAAACACGTCGATTCCCCACTCGCGACGGCTAAGGAAGTCGCTCCGGAGAAATTTCACCGCGAACCGAGCAACCTCCGTCTCCGTCGACTCCCATAGTCCTCTAAGGCTGCGTCCTCCTCGCCGATACCCGAATACCTAATAGCCGACTCGGCTTCTAAATGTCAAAGAACCACCGACAAGACGTATGGGTTCTCATCGGCACACGCTCGTACACCCATAATGGGAACGTTCCGTGCAGTGAAAATCGTTTCACCTTAACAACGACCACCGCCGAATATCCGTGGCCCCGAAATGAAGGGCAAGGTTGCTCGCTGATTAGCGGATCCCTTCCTTTTCCCTTTCTTTGTTTTCTTTTCGTTCGTCCTGTCCCGAGAAAGGGCGCACGGTCGGTTGCATTTCGGCCGCGTCGCCGTTCCTAATTGATCGCTGCCGTCGCAGATTTATAACCTACCTGGGACTAAAATCGAGTAGGCAAGAAATGGGCCAGAACATTTGTCGGACATCCGTGTGATTTGTTGTTCTCGAAACGACGAGAACCACGAGCCGGTCTGGCTACCCTTGCGACACCGCGCAAGATCTCGAACGCCGATCCTCATCAAATAAATATATCCTGCGGAAAATTATGCTCGTTATTATTCAACGGGCCAACGGTCTCTGACACCCATCGCATGCTCCCCCTCCCCCCGGGTTACCCAACGAAATATATGGTCCCATTCATGGTGCAATTCCGTATCGTACGGCCGTGTCCCGTCGGCTCCGATCCTCTCCGGCGATTTTTTACTCGCGATAGAAAGTCGTCGTGGCCGGGTGCCGGACGATCTCCCGCGGACCGTCGTCGACGTGCTAAATTTCGACAAGTCGCACACGTCGGGACGCCGTTCCAGAGTCGCCACGGCGAAGCTCGTGGCACGTCATCACGACGAAATTGCAGTCCGGTCGTTAAAGCTGGGTACGCACGGTCCGAAATACCGAAATGCTTCCGTGCCACGAAGAATCCTCTTTTATGACACGGTTACCAGTACCCGTTAGTAACTGTTAGGTTTTAGTGCCAGGTTCCACTGACACGTTGCGAGCGGCCTCTCGCGATCCGAGGGATCAGGATGCTTCCGACTGTTCATTCATCGATCGGAATACCATCGGAACACTCCAGGTATTCTCGTCGAGTTCGTCGTGTCCAGCTACGCGCCTGGAATCCTGTACATTTCGAGTTCGTCTGGCGGCAGTTTAGGGAACTCAGGAACAATTGACCCTCGTCCGTCAAGTTGACACATTTCCCTCGTGCACTCGCGTGCGGCAGGAAGAACGTAGCTCCGCGCGCGACGTTGCGTTGTTTACGAAATTAATGAATTCGTGGCATTTAGAAATACGACGTTCACCACTTTTACGAACGAAATCGATGGAACGAACGCGCGAGGTGCGGCCCCCGATTTTCCGATTCTACGACGCCGTTTCCTTTTTATGCGCCCCATATGGGCCCATTGGAAGACCATCCCGCAGTTCCGGAAAACAGGTAGGCCTTGCCTACCCTACGTTGCCAAAGGTCAAGGACGGCCAGTGACGCGACGTCTATTCGAATTTCCTATGCATGAATTGCCCGGAACGTGGGGGAGGGGGGTCGTTAAATTTCTTCGAAGCAGTTAAAAGAGACGGAGAGGGAGAGAGATAGAGAGAGAGAGAGAGAGAAAGAGAGAAAAAGAAGTCGGCCGGAATCCGCGAGTTCGATCGTGAATACGAGACACGGGTTCTATCGTTAGAAAGCGTGGTAACTCGAGTGACGTATGTGGTACAAGAAATTCTGAGCAGGAATCGATTCGTAAAAATCGCGGCGTCGCTCGCGGAACGTTCTCGCGATGCATCGTTGCGAATTCGTTCGCGGAAAATCGTCGGATAATCCATGGTCGCGAATCGTCAATTGGGGCGGCCATATTGTGCGAGCGCGCGCGCGCGCGCGCCACTTACGAATTCTTTCGCTGGGCCCGTTATATAATCAACGAATTGTTTGCAACGATCCTAACGAGAAGATACGAAGGATATTGCGAACCGTCGGTTTATCGTCGCGATTTTGATCGCCGGTAAACAGGTGTTTCCATGATCGGTAACGCGGGCGTGTAAACGGGCCGATGAGCGACTCGGAAAGATCGAGAGAAAGGTAAAAAGGAAAGGCTGTGTCAGTGTAGGTAACTTACATATGAGCAGCGTGGTATCCAGAGTGGAATTTTTGATGTCCTCAGGACCTCCTCTTATAAATCTATCCACAGAACGAGACACTGTGCACCCGCTGGATCCCGGGGCTGCTTTGACAACGGATTTATCAAAGATCACTTTACTACAAGACTTCACCTCTCACGGGGCAACACCGATGTACAAGGGCCCGAAGGACGTGAACGAAGGTCGAACTTATATTCCTTTCGGCGTGACGATAAAACGGCAACGACGGTCGCATAGAGCAGGCACAATGGTATATAGCACGTTAATGACGACAAGAATGTCTCCGTCCGTGTCTGTTATGTGTGTGTATGTTTGCGTGTGTGTGCACTCACGTGTAAGTCCCAAATGTGCACTGATCGATCGAATCGTAGTTATCGAGGACAATTAACGACCGCGTCTAATTCCCCGAGAAAACCGGAAGCCAGAGCAGGACCACAAAACTTTCACTGCGGTCTTCCGTTTCTTCTGCCTGTTCTCGCTGCCTCCTCTTCGCCGCGTACTTCTCGAGGCACCAACGCGACGTCCTTCCACGGTCGACCGTCGAGGGATCCGCGATCGATCCGCCGTAGATCAGGAAGAGGAATTCCCGCGGGACAGGGTCCTTGACCTTGCCCAGAATCTCCTTCCTTGCCTCCTCGAGCACTGTCGACAGCACATCAGCCTCCCGGTGTTCTTCATCAGCCGTGCGCACTGTTTCTCCTCCCGTTTCCGTGACCTTCTTCTGCTTCTTCTTCTTCTTCTTCTTCTCGTTCCTCTTCGGGTTCGATCACTCGTTCCGTGAGATCCTCCTCATGGGTCTCTAAGGACGATCTCAGGACCTGCTCAGGATCCAATGACAGCCGAACCCGCGTGGAGAACTCGAACCGGAACAATCGGTAATCCACGCACCGTTCGCGGTCACTATTGCGATCGACGATTTTGTCCTCGATCTTCGTGTGTTCGCGTGTATCGTGCTTTTCCTCGTCCCGCTGTATTCTCTCTGCCTCCGCTTCTTCCCGCGCGCACTATTTCCTTCCGTCTCGTGAATTTTTAGTGAAACGGCGCACGGCCGGTGTTGACGATCGTCGAACGTCGGAGAGATAGAGAAAAAGGGAGAGAGAGAGAGAGACAGCGAGAGGGAGAGAGAGAGAGAGAGAGAAAGAGAGAAAGAGAAAGAGAGAGGTGGGAGAGGCCTTGCGGATCTGATACGAGCAGGGAAGAAGCCTCGCTTCCTTGGCACCGGACGAGATGCGACTAATTCCTAAAAGTAGGCGAGGAAGAAACGAACTGGATGGCCTGTGGGCCCTTACTGTGAGGGGACTTACACTGTACCGACCGACAGAGGCCCCTACTTCGAGAAGCCTCCTTGCGTATTGAGCCGGGGGGACCGTAGGCCCCCACCTAAAACTCTACCTGCCTCCTTCCCCCGCAGTCCGGTGCTCCCCGTTGGTGCTCTTCTTCCACCACTTTGTCGATTCGAGCATCCTCCACTACCGGCGCTAAATCACCTCACACCGAACTGCGCATTGTAGTGCCGATGCGCCAGTAGGACCACCGCCGGAAAGTGCCTTCCCTACTCCTGAATACAACACCGGATCCAACATTTTACTATTCGTTTCGCAGGTCTAATCTTCGATGTAGTTAAGGGACATCCCTCAAACGGGACACACTCCTTCGAGGGTCAACCTATTCCGATGAATTCGGTGGAGAATTTACTGTGTTTGTACTTTTGTAGTATCGTATTTATCATTATATTAACGCATTATCACTCGTAAACATACAAATTTATGCTTCTTTGACGTTTCGTGAAGTACTGAAGGCATGTAAACAGGCTTTTATGCACCGTACATCAAATGCTGGCGATCTATACGTACATACAGTGCGCCATGAAAGTATTCGTAAAGCTTCTAAACCGCAATAATTTTTTAAAAGTGGACTAAGTGGACTAATTCAATTTTTTTAGGTGATAGAGAGACTAGTCCACTAGACGATGACTAAAATTTCTTTTTTTTTTAATTTTGCTATTACTTAGAATGACAAAGAAAAAATTGAAAACCCTCACTTTTTCATTTTTTTTTATCTGAGCCTATAACAAAAATTTTAAAAATGCCTCTCGTAGATTTCGGTACTTATATACGTGCTGAAAATTTGGTCGAAGTCGGTTAACCCAGAGTCGAGCTACAGGTATTGAAAGATCTTAAAAACTGCAGATTTTTTTCCAGTTTTTGGTCGAAATCGTGATAAAACTGCGATTTTTGCCGTCTTTAANTGGCTTCCAAGAAGAATGCGCAATGTGCTCATACCGTGGGACGATGTGTGTACACGGATCGCCAGTCGCACGAATTATCAGCAATCTGAAAAGCGATTATCAGCAATCTGATTAGCTGAATAATCAAAGCAGCCGCTCGGAAAGCGGGTGTGTAATCCAGTTTCCAAGAGCAGTCTTATATCGTATGGGCATATATCCTGCGGACTCAATTGTGGATCGATTCGGCGATAACGGCGCACGACAAAAAGCTCGCTAAGTGTGAGAAGTCGTTGTCTGCTTGGCTCGATGGTTAGTGCAAATTCCAAAGGAGCAGAATCGGCGTTACGACCTTGCGACACGCGAGAGAGAACCGACGATAATACACGTCACGGGACACCGGAACGGCGAATACACTTCGAGAACCGTGTCTACTGACTTGATCAGTGCGATACCGACACCGATCGATTGATTCTAATTAATCCCATAGCCGTGTTCGCTGTCGGACCAACAACCTCTAAATTATGGCACTTACAAAGGAGATTACCCAAGATGTCTATTTAGTTTTGAAAAAGTAACCATTAGAAGTTATACATAGTATCTCACCTCCTATTAACTAATGGTCGTACGAGTGTCATTCGCCCGGAAAATTTGATATTCGTTAGAAAAACGTAGTCAAAGTCCGCCATAAGTAGCTCTGAAAATGGTTTTGGACGAACTTTTACCATAAATTTTGTTTATTTTTTAGAACATATAATTAAAGTAATTATAACTATCATAATAATCATAACTATCATATAATATAATTATCATAATTCTAATGATAAATGTTCAACATTTTCTATCTCCCTCTCCCGAGGTATAAAATAGTGAGAATATATATGATGTGTATGTAAAATTTGGAAATATATAATCGGACAACGAAACAGAATTCATTAATTAAACACTAATCAACATATTTCAAGTCCCGAAAATCACTAAATAGTCTTTAGATATCGTTTATGTCTGAGGACGTGAAGATGCTATAACTGCAATGAGACGAGCCACTTATGCAATGCGCGTCCGAAGCCGAAGAGGGAATGAGGTACATATACATATACATACAGTGGGTCACAAAAGTGTTCATACACCTTCTGAAACGTAATAACTTTTTTTAAACTCAATTAAATGACTTTTAAGTGATGATTTTTTTTTAATTGATGGAAGGACTAGTCTACCAGAGGATGACAAAAATGCCTTTTTTTAATTTGCTATTACTTGGGATGACAAAAAAAGATAAGAAACTCTCGTTTTTTAACTTTTCTATCTGAGCTTATAATAAAAATTTCAAAAATGCCTCTCGCAGATCTCGGTAACTTATATGCGTGCCGAAAATTTGATCGAAATCAGTTAACACGGAGTCGAGCCACAGCTGTTGAAAGATTTAAAAAAATTGCAGATTTTTTTCTGTTTTTGGATAAAATCGTGATAAAACTGCGATTTTTGCCGTCTTTAATTTGTTATAACTCGTAACAACGTCAACTGATCTCGATCAAATTTTCGGTATGTATATAAGCTACCGAGATCTACGAGATGCATTTTTTAAATTTCCGTTATAGCCTCAGATAAACAAAAGTTAAAAAACGAGAGTTTCCTATTTTTCTTTCGTCATTCCAAGTAATAGCAAAATTTAAAGAAAGCTTCTTGGACCCGCTATTGTCTAAAAAAAAAATGTAAGTCACTTGGTCCGGTTTTAAAAAAATTATCGCGCTTTAAAAGTTGTACCAACACTTTTGTGCGCCACTGTACGTGTCACACGTATGCGGAATGCGATATAAAGGAAAGTGCAGGCATTATTACGTAATAATAAGTAATTACATCGAAAATGCCTAGTAAACAGAACATAATAAAATAATAATATAACAAAGTAATTGTAATGTAATTATAAAATAATTACTGTACAGAAAGCCTTCGCTTCGATTTTCATGAACTATTTGATATTTTAAAAGTTAGATGCATTTTTGTCAAGTGATGCAACAGTGTCGAAAACCTTAAAATATGTCGGGTACACGCCAAAGCGTTCGCACAAACAGACCGGGCCGTGGTGTGTTAATTCTAGAGACGCTGTTGCAAAACTTCGGAAACAAATTCTGAAAATGGATATTTCGTGCACTTGATCGATGCGCCTACTAAGCGATCAAAATAACTAATGCATGTTGCTTTATGAGAACGACGACACTGAATTTACCTAGACTCCGCGCCATTTTTGTTACAACGTAAGCCAGAATTAAGAAATTTATTCAATCAGTTACAGTGAAAAAGATTCTATAATTTCAACAATTTTTAAATGAAAAATTTGGAATCGGTCGTTTTTTTTTACCACTTTAGTGTTAAAATGGGTCGGCTCGCGTTGGATCCCGAATTTTTATGCAATTTCATAGTTTTGCAGCTCATTTTTAAGAATTCAATTGGGGAAACAATTTCTTTTAGTTCAGAGCTAATCTTCTGGAGCGAACTTAAAACTGGTATTAATTTTTGGCAAAACAAATGGCAAAATTGGCAAACGTTTTGATAAACGTACATTACTATCGATAAACTACTGTAATATTTTAACGAGAATATTAAAGATATTTTCATACGAAAAATTTTGAGACGTTCGGAATTCAAAATTCGATTTGTTTCTAAAAAAGAGAATGATTTTCATTAAATCCGTCAATCTATGTTCAAATTCCGTGTTCGAATTTAATATTTAATTCATCATTATTCTAAATTGCATTAAAATTATGAAAATACATCTGGCTTTGTCTAAATTTTTGTTGTAAATAATGTAACCAATGTTTTTTCTTTCTCTGACAAATGCACTCGTTGCCAAAGTGCCATCGTTTCATGAAGATAATTAAAAAATCTGTTATTCCGAGAAATTTCTTTCGCAGCCAGGATCATCTCGATAATTTCCTAGAAAATAAAGAAATCTTATATTCCCTATGCAGTTCTCCTAAAAACAAGTCGAATCATATTTTAATGCATAAAAAGCAAACAACGACCGAATAGATTTATGTCCTGTTTCGTCACGAGTCTAATTCTATTTCGCGAGGCGAGGGGTTAACAATCGCGTGTCATCCCCGTGTAATGTCGCGATGATTGGCCAGCAGAAGGACCAGCTTAGATATAATGGCGGTATATAATAATTTTACTGGAACAATGACTACGTCAGGTTTATTCACACGCCATGCATTGAAACCGTGACAATCGGTAAGTATAATAATCGAATCGCGAAGTACCTTGAAACAGCGATTCGAGCGAGACGACGCTTTCGACGGAAGTATCCTGGTCATAACGATAATCACCGATACACTCGTGTTTCGCCAGAGAGCAACGGAAAGATCGATAAATTCATGGATAATAACGGTGGCGTCCGTCTACGTATACGTGTGCACGTGTGCGTGTGTACAACACGCGTGCCATCGGCAATTGGCCAACGTGGAATTCGTTCTTACGACGGCGCGTCTGTGTCCGAGTTTTGAATTTAATTGGCATAGACGAGAAATTTCGCAATTTTTACCTTCACCGCGGGCACATCAACGAAACACCTACATGCGTCGGCAACAAGCGAATGGTCAGGGAAACGCGTAAAACCGCATGCACGCGCGCGCCCTTCCTCACACTCCTCTATTTGGAACAATTTCTTTTGTTCACGTTCCTTTTCCCATTGTCCGAGCGCAAAAAAATAATTAATAACACCCGCTACGAGTGCATAAAAATCGGTGATCTATCGATACCAATCAGCTTGTTATTGATATTGTACGAACATGATACAGTAGAACTTCGATTATCCGAACCACCGATATCTGAATTTTGCTTATCGCGACGTAAAAAGATTTACAGGAAATTCTTCGTAAGTCGCGCTCAGATTGTGCGACAAAAATAGAGAATTTTTGAAGAGGAGATACGATTAAATAACCGAGCGCGAGAAATCCCTCGGCGGTCTTCGATTACTGATTAAAATGGAGCCCCGATTATCCGAGCTAATCGATGAGACGAACATGTAAGTAAAAGTGTAAGAAAAAAATGAAGATTACATTTTTACTTACACCTTGATTAAGCAACTGTTCTATT